GCCCAGACCGAGAAGACAAGTGACTCCAATATCAAAGGCTTCCAAAGACTTCTGTTTTCAGCCAATGCGGTGGTCTGGACCAGGAAAGCCACTGTCATTCTAAATTCCAAAAGGACTCTTGCATGCGATCGAGGGCATTATTCAAAGCCAAGAAAGCTCAGCTACAGCTCTGGGAGAGGAACAAGAACAATACCCAAATTAAGAACTATGTCGCGCTTGAAAAGCTGGCCGCTGCATATATCGCGTCTGGCGAGATTGAACTTGCTCGCCACCTGTTCGACACAATTCCTAAACCACATATTGCTTGCTGGGATTTGCTCCTCAGAACATATGCATGGAATGGGCCTTTTGAACAAGCCATCAGTATGTACCGTAAGATGCTGGAGTCGGGAGTTACACCCTCCAAGTTCACATTCCCATTTGTTCTCAAAGCTTGTTCTGCTATGAAAGCCATAGAAGATGGAAGAATGCTGCATGATCATGCGGTGAAACTTGGGCTCCAATCCGACCTCTATGTATGCACTGCTTTGATTGACTTGTATGCAAAATGTGGGAATTTGATTTTGGCACAACGTGTGTTTAATAGCATGTCAAATAAAGATGTTGTAGCATGGAATGCCATGATTGCTGGGTTCTCTCTCCATGGAGTCTATGATGACACGCTGCAATTGTTTCTTGAAATGCAAAGGGCTGGAGTAAGACCCAACTCTTCTACAATTGTAAGTCTTCTTCCGACCATGGCGCAAGCTAATGCTTTGGGCCAAGGAAAGGCCATGCATGGTTTTTGTGTGAGAAGGGATTTTCACAATGATGTGGTGGTTGGAACTGGGCTATTAGATATGTATGCAAAATGTCGATGCATATCTAGTTCAAGGAGAATTTTTGATACGATGGGCATTAAGAATGTGGTAACTTGGACCGCAATGATTGGAGCTTGTGTTACTAGTGATTTGATGGGAGAAGCATTAGAGCTGTTCAATCAGATGGTGCTCAAGGGTTCAGTAAATCCCATGCCAGCAACCATTGGTAGTGTTCTTCGGGCATGTGCTGGACTAACTGATCTGAGAAGAGGAAGATGCTTGCATTCTTACACAATTAAATCAGGCTACTTTCTAGATATGATGGTAGCTAATACATTGCTTTCATTATATGCAAAGTGCAGCGTCATAGATGATGCAATCAGGTTTTTTAGTGAAATGAGGTTCAGAGATACTATTTCCTATAATGCCATCATCTCTGGATGTGTACAAAATGGTTTTGCCATTGATGCATTACTAATTTCCCGTGAAATGTACTCATCTGGAGTTTATCCAGATTTGACAACCTTAGTCAGTATTCTTCCTGCTTGTTCACATTTGGCTGCTTTACACCAGGGTACTTGTGGACACAGCTACTCTGTTGTCCATGACTTCGTAGCTGATACCTCAATTTGTAATGCACTTATTGACATGTACTCTAAGTGTGGCAAGGTTGATATTGCCAGAAAAGTATTTGATAGGATGCAGAGGCGTGATGTTGTCTCATGGAATGCAATCATAGCTGGTTATGGAATTCATGGCCTTGGCACAGAAGCAATTACACTGTTCCATGATATGCAGGTTGCAGGTATAGAGCCAGATGACGTGACCTTCATTTGTCTCCTGTCTGCTTGCAGCCATTCAGGACTTGTCAAGGAAGGAAAGCACTGGTTTAATGCAATGAGTACAGATTTTAAAATTTCACCAAGGATGGATCACTATACATGCATGGTAGATCTTATGGCCCGGGCTGGACTTTTGGAGGAGACCTACAAATTCATCAAGGAAATGCCATTTGAACCGAGTATTAATGTATGGGTTGCTCTGCTTGCAGCGTGCAGGCTCAATAAGAATATTAAACTTGGGGAAGAAGTATCAAAGAAGATCCAGAGACTAGGACCTGAAGGAACAACAAATTTTATTCTTTTATCTGATATGTATAAAACTCTAGGGAGATGGGAAGATGCAGAAAAAATTAGAATCATGCAGAGGAACCAACGTCTAAGGAAAAGTCCAGGCTGTAGTTGGATTGAGATTAATGGAGTTACTCGTGCTATTCCTGGTAGTGATCAGTTGTCCCCTCAGGGAACTAATGCACTACAAGTGGCGAATGCAAAAGTTGAACTAGGCATGCACATGTTCTAAGGGCAAAAGTTGAGCACGATAGCTAGTTCTCTCTCCTTTGTTTCTTCATGTTGCAGTGAAACACGTTCCAGGGGTAAGCGTTAGTTCTTCACATGTAATTGCTTCATCTGTTCTGCATTTAGAGTCAATTGAACTACACTATAAATTGGGAGGATCATATATGGTTAAGGGAAGGCTACTTGATTGCCTTGTGTTAGAAAGCGATAAATGTGCTTGGTGGGAACTCAAGCAATAGAGTTTTCAGCAGGAATTTGCATTTTGAATAGAAATAGTCTAAGCTGGAAATTTCTTCTATTTATACCAATCTTACTGTGATGACTGTGATGAATAAGCTTAATGACAGATTGAGGCTGCAAATTTAGATGTTGGATGAGTTTAACATTTCAGTTGAACAAAGAACCCAGGGCATAGCGTCGGTGATCACTTTGCATACCAAAGTATGAACTTGATGTGAAAACTGTAGGAGTCCATCTTCAAAATCCAATATGTAATTGACCTCTCAAGGGTACAAAGTTTTCAAACTAATTTATCCTAAATTTTCAGAGAGAATATCAGCTTCATGACACGGTATCCACAATGACTGCAGAGTTGTTGACTCTCTCCCTCGCTTTCTTCGCCTGAAGAAAATTGCAAAAAAACTCAATCTTAAGTGAAAATATGATGAAAAAAAGAGAAAGCATAACAGGAGTAAACTGTTGATTTATCTTTACCTCTTGGTCCCAGTTAGTACGTATGAGAATGATTAGAAGAGAAGAAACTTGAACCATGAGCGCACATATGATCCCCAGCCAGAGCCCCTAAATACAAATTACAGTAAAGAAAATCATTTTGATTGATATGCATGAAAACGAATCACATTATAAGGTTTTGTTTAATATGGTTGTAGTTTTGAGTTTTTGATTTTTAATTTTTAACATTTAAATAGTTAAAATTAAAATTACCAAGTTATTGGGTATAAAATTTTAAGATAACTACTTAAAATTATGAACTTAATTAATTTTGAAAACTACTTAATTTTATTATAGAGTTTCTAAATTTTTAAAAACTAAAACTATAATTATACAAAACGGAGCTTAAATTGTTTGGATTCATTTTTCATAAATTTTTACCCTTCCGCCAACGTGGAGCATGAAAGCAAGCACAATAGCAGACGGAATCCCCATCAAGTAATATGATCCTAGATTGATATATGCACCAATCTTCTGCAATCCACATCCTCTAACAGTGCCTGAAATGTCACATAAAGATGCAGAGTGAAACTAGAAAGATTGGTTTCAAAGTCTTCTTAGGAGCATGGAAAAATTCAGGAGGGAGGGAAATGATGGGACCTGAAAGAACACATTGAAGTCCATCCAAGAAGTTGGATGCTGCTAAAATTGGCATCATGGCTGCCACATAACTAACCACTTCTCTTTCACTGCTATAACAATGTGCCCATATGTTTCGGATCAAAATCAAGACTGATCCCACCAGCATGCCCTCTGCAATGGCAATAATCAGGACAACACATACTGCTAAACGTGCAGCATCCGGATGCCCTGCTCCTAATTCATTAGAAACCCGTGTGCTGCAACGGATATATCAAGATACAAAACAAGTTTTATGCTAATGCTTCAATGTTTTATCAACCATCAAAGAACTAAGGGTAATTGTTTACCTTACTGCACCGCTTAGTCCAAAGGGGATCATCCAAACGATAGAAGCAGTATTGAGGCTGGGAAATTAAGATTTTGGATTAGCTCAACATTTCAGTTGAACAAGAACTCACTATTGATGTAAACTGTACAACAAATTCCAGGTGAAAATAGCAATTGACAGTAAGAAACGGACCTGATGGAGAGCACAGATGTTTGTAACTCTGGATTGGGGAGAAGTCCAGCTAAAAGAACCATCATTTCAAATGACCACATCTCCAAGCTGATCAAATTATGGAAAAATCAGAGTTTTTTGTGTTGACATTTTTTCATGGGTGTGTTATTTTAGATGGGGTGACAGAGAATATAAGAGATTACCAGACCATAACAGCTGATGGAACAGCAAGTCGAAGAAATGTGAGGATGTTATGCAATGCCTGCTTTGAAAATCCTATCGTGGTTTTGGTGCAGGAAGGAGAGAACTTGACGTAACATGCCAACAGCAACACATTCACCCAATAGGATATGTCATTGGCAAAGGCAGCACCTCTACTTCCGAGGCCAGATTTGAACACCAGGGCCCAACAGAGAGGAATGTGTAGCAGAGTTGTGATGCCTGAACATAACATCATTGGGAAAACAATGTTCTGCGTTTGCAAAAACCTGCTAAGACATTGAAGGAGACTATATGCGAAAAGACTGGGAATCATGAAAAGAGCATATTGTCCAGCTTCCCTGGCAATGTCATGGTTTTGGCCTAGAAAAACTAGAATGGATCCTGTGTTTGCCCAGATTATGGCTAGGGGTATGCTAACAATAAAAAGAACAAGCATAGCTCTTTGCATGTGTATGCCCAGCATATGATACTGCTTTGCCCCATATGACTGTCCACATAGAGTATCTAATGCACTTGCCATTCCTACCTGTTGTAATGAAAAAACTAAAATAATCAGAAACTATAGTTAAACAAGCTTAACGTCCTGGTAATTTTTTTAGATGTAAAGACTAGAACTTTATATCAGAAACTATGCATTTTGACTTTGATTGGTCCTCATTGCTGACCTATAGTAAGCCACTAAACTCCAAGTCTTTCCACATGTCCCTACTGTGATTCCCCTACTCCAACATCAGAATTAAGCTGTGATTAAGTGCTTTATAAATGTCCCAACCGATTACTATTATTTTGTTACTATTAATAAGTCTTTGAGAACCTGTAGATCTTAACCATATTAGGTTAATTGGGGTTTCGGCTAAGTTGTTTTCCCTATATCATCAAGTACTGTCCTTTTCCTTGTAATAAAGAGTGATGGTCCAAAGGATCTTGAAAATTTGCCACTTTTCCAAAAATAAAAAAAAGGCCATGAAATTTTATCTTTTTCCTATTCAGGCAGTGGCAATGAATGCTCATAAATTAAAGAAAATTGAAAGTTCTACACTAAAAGTGTTAGCAACAGGAGAAACCAGGATGACTGCATTGAATTGATGCTCAAGGGAGAAAGGACAAGAAGTTGAAATTGAAAGAAAGACTGAGTAAGAGATAGGAAGCAACATAGAGCCAGGAATGGATGAATAAGCCTTTTATGCATATCATGAGTTGATCAGAAGGCTGAAATACGATATGCTATCTCAAGGGAAAAAGATCAAACACAAATTGATCATAAACTTGAAAAAACTGCTATATATCCTGAGACAAAAATTGAGTTTGGGATGCTCAACCAAATCAAAACTACAGGTCAAAATCAAGATCCATGGAAATTGCCAATGGAGAAAGGAAGAGAAACCCAACTCACCAACAAGCTAAAACCAGTAACTGATGCAAAGGAAGTGGCCATTGAAGCACCAGAGAGAGGCAGCTCACCAAGGTGCCCCACAAACATCACAGATATCATCTGTAAAGAGTACCATAACAGACCCACAGATACCAGAGGCCCTGCTAGCCATAGCTGCTTCTTCACCTCTTCAATAGCTTTCTTTCTTGTTGTTGTGCCCCCCTCATTGATTCTCCCTTCATCATTAACATCAAGCACAGTATCATCATTATTTTCTCTGGATATTTGGATCAAAGGGGACTGCAGAGAGAGCTTTCTCTCTTCACTCTTTTCTCCCACCATTTCTTTCCCCAAACACAAATCGAGAGAAAGAAACAGATAATGTCTACCTCAGTGCGTCAGCTTATATGCGAGATACATCGTTCAATGTTTTACAAGCATTGAATGTTGAGGGTATGAAAGCAATTAAGGGGAGAATTGAC